AGAGAGGGAACACAAGCAGGGGGAGTGGGAGAGGGAGAAGCAGGCTTCCCGCCGAGCAGGGAGCCCGATGCGGGGCTTGATCCCAGGACCCTGGGACCATGACCTGAGCTGAAGGCAGACGCTTAACAACTGAGCCACCCAGGTGCCCCCAAGATCTAAGTGATCTTATCCATCCCCTTACTAACTCTATATGCTGACAATTCCCAAATTTATATCTCCACCCAGAGATCTCCCCTAAGCACAAACTTCTATTTCTGACATCTCACTTGGATTGTAGAATAGGATTTCAAATTTTCAACACCTTAAAAACCAAACTCCTAATTCTCAGTCATTGCTATGCTAGCCTACCCTTCCCTGCAGTCTTACCCTACTCCGTAACTGGAAATTCCCTTTTTCCAGGTCCTCAGCTGAAAGACTGTAAAGTCGCCCTCGATTCTTGTCTTTTTCTCATACCTCACATATCCCAGCCATCAGAAAACCCTGACCCCTCTGCCTTCAAATTATGTAAAAAAAAAAAAAAAAAAAAAAAATCCAAACATTTACAACCGCTTGTATGGCCATTATCCTGATCCAAGTCAATATCCTCTCTCACCAGATTATTCCAATAGCCTAACTGCTTCCCTTTCTCCTCCTTGTCTTCCTAGGATTTATTCTCACAACAATCAGTGACCATTTTTTAGAACCTAAGTCTGATCACATCACTGCTGCATTCTAAGCCCTCCCACATCTTCCCATCTCACAAAGAGTAAGAGCCACAATTCTTATGATAACCCACAAGGCCTTTCACCATGCAGTTCCCAATGCTTCTTTAACCTCCTCCTCCAACCACTCTCCCCTCACTCTACTCTGGACAAACTGGTCTCCTTGCTTTTCATGACAGACATCACATACACCCCCCACATCTGCTGCCTAGGACCATCCTCATTGCCTAGACATTGACATTGCTTCAAGTCTTAATTATCATTCTCACAGAGCTTTTCCTGCCACCTTTCATAAAGCAGCAACCCTCGATATACCCAACACACTTCCAATTCCTCCTTCCTTGCCTTTTTCCCCCTCTCCTAGGCACTGATCTCATCTGACATAATGTTTGCTTTTTATTGGCTCTCTCCTATTAGAATGTAAGCTCCCCGAAAGCAGGGATTCGTTGTTGTTGTTTTTTTTTTTCACTGCTCTAGATCCCTAGTTCCTGGAACAGTATCTAGCACATAAACACTAAGTATTTGTTGAATAAATGAATGTTTTACTTCCAATAGGTTCAGAATTAGTCTTTTTATCCAGCAGGACAACCCCCCTGCTTCTCTTCAATTTTAAAATTCACTGCCCTGGACTTTTCTATAGAAATGAGAGTCAGGTAATCAAGTCCTATGAAAACCCTTTGAGGATTCTGGCTGGGATGGCTTTGAATTAATTTGGAGAGAACAGTTAGCTTTTTGATTTTTAGTTTTTTCCCCAAAAACATCATAGGTTTCTCCATTTTTAGGTCTTTTATATCCTTCAAAATTGGAACATGATGTTTTTGTTTTTTTGCCATTACCAAAGCACTGCATTTTTTTAAAGTTACATTTTCTAACTGCCACAATTAAATCATCAAGCTCCTTTTCTATTGCGTTAATCCTCCTTAACTTTAAAAACATGCTTAAACCTCTCTGCCTAAAAAATCTTCTTCTTGGCCATGAAACTATTCCTTCTGTTCTCAAATATTGCAAAGAAGCAGATGAGTAGTGCTACCTCTGCTTCCTCATTGCCTACTCATTCCTTAACCCCTAACACCTTGCTGTTGCTCAGCTACCCAGTGGACACTACTCTTTCAGAAAGGAACTCTGGGCACTGAGTCACTGAATTCCACAGTGTCTAAATATCTATCTTCTTTAGTGTAAGTTGCACATGACAACAAATACACCCTACCCCTTTATTCCACATTTTAGCTCTTTGGCTTCCATGGAACTGATATTTCCCTCCCATCTCCTGAGTGTTTCCCCTTTTCTATCCCCTGGTTTCTCTTCTTTGATTCCAGGAAGAACCTATATCTATCCTAGAGATACAGGGAAAGCCTGTCTGGGGAAGACAATTTGAGCTAACTTTTAAAATGAGACTAGGGTTTACCACACAGACAAGCATGAAAAGGGCATTTCTGTCAGGGAGAAGAGCACAGGCAGGGTAGGGACAGCATGGTTAACCAGAGACTCAGTTTGCTATGTCTAGAGCAGTTTATGTCCAATATAGTGGACACTAATCACATGTAGCTATGCAGTACTTGAAATGTGGCTAATTCAAACTGAGATGTGCTGTTAAGTGCAAAATACACACCAGATTTCAAAGACTTAATATCAAAAAGGAGATGTAAAATCTCACTATTTTTCACTGATTACATGTTGACATAGTTTTTGGATATACTGTTTTAAATAAAATAGATTATTAAAATTAATTTCATTGGTTTCTTTTTACTTTTTAAATGTGCCTACTAGAAAACTTAAAATTACGTATGTGGCTCTCATTATGTATCTATTGGTTAATGCCAGTCTATAGCATAAAGGACAAAGGAAGGGAGGAGAGCAGAAAATTCTATCATTAATTTTCTTTTTCCTTTCTACTCCTATCGAGGTCAATAAAAGTTCAGGCCCTAATTACCTCTCACCTAAGACCACTCCAATGGTCCTACTGACCCCTCCCTATAGTCTTGGTTCTGTCACAACCCATCCTAGATACTGTAACCACATTAATCTTTTTAAAGTACTTCATCTCTCCACTGCTCACCTATTTCTTTATCATGGTCCCCTGAACTTCCAAATTAAGGGGTAAAATGATCTGGCATCTTAAGGCTTTCCACTATGTAAGCCTAATCTGCATTTATAGGATTACCTAGTACTGCTCCCCTTTACATGTGTGGATATACCAAAATGAGGATGTCACCTGAACTTGACTTGAATTTTTTTACCTTGATGCCTTTGTCATAATCTTCCCTCTGCTTAGAATACCCTTTCCAAAATTTAATGAGATTCTGTTTATGTTTAAAAAGAAAAAAATATGAGTGGGGCCTTTTGTTAGAGATACAGGTATTTAGAGAGGATTAAAAAAAAAATCCTACTAGGACTTCAGTCTATACTAAATATCTATTCCATCATGAAGCCATTTCTAATTACTTAAGCCTTCAACAAACATGCAACATGTAGAAGGTGTCATGTGCTATACATTACTATAGATCCCAGGTAAACCAGACAGTAAGGTATTAGCTCTGCCTTTAGGAATTCAGTCTCATGGGATGCAACTACATAAGTCAGCAATTATCATGGAGTAGGATTTTGGCAAAGATGGAGGTGAAAAGAGGGTCCTGGTGGACCACTGCCAAGTCAAGTCCTAATCCAGGTTTGGTGGTAGGCAGAGGGGAGGGAAGCATCCTTAAAAGTGAATGGCCCTAATGCAATGTTCCCCCTTTGAATACCCAGGACACCTTTTGTAGCTTCCCTTGTGGTTATATGATCCCATCTCTGATACTGTCATGCATGTAGAGTTGAAACTCATTACCTGTACATTCCATACTTGCATTTGTGCCTATTGCTAAAATTTGTAACCCCAAAATCAATACTTACAGCAATTTCTTGGTCATTCACAGGCAAATCCCAAGTGGTAAAAAATTTGAGTCTTCTCATGTTTCCAGCTGAGGTAGAACAAGGTGGCGCTCTGCCTTCTTGTTTCAGCTCTCACACAGAAAACAAATGTCCCTATCACAGTCTACCTAGTACTGCCACGTTTTCAGTATTTTTGCTTTTTGTTGGTGGTTTCACTGTTGAAACTGGCCACCAAACATGGCACTGAATTGTTATCTAATGTTCCTAAGAGCAAGAGAGCTATGATGTGCTTTATGGAGAATATATTATATTAGACAAACTCTGCTCAGGCATGAGTGTTAGTGCTGTTGGCATAAGCTCTATGTTCATGAATTAACAATATATATTAAAGTGTTTTAAAGCAGAAATACACACAAAATAAAGTTATATATTAATCAGTATAAAAATGTTGTGACCAGAGGCTTTCAAGAATGTAACTCCAGGGGCACCTGGGTGGCTCAGTAGTTAAGCGTCTGCCTTCGGCTCAGGTCATGATCCCAGGGTCCTGGGATCGAGCCCCACACATCAGGTTCCCTGCTCAGCGGGAAGTCTGTTTCTCCCTCTCCCTCTCCCCCTGCTTGTGATCCTGCTCTCACTGTGTCTCTGTCAAATAAATAAATAAAATCTTTAAAAAAAAAAAAAAAAAGAATGTAACTCCATATTCCCCCTAGGACCAATGGCTCAGTATTCATTAATTCTCTGTTCACAACAACTTGGCAGAACGTAAGTATCTTAAATAATGAGAATCAACTATATTCTCTTTCCCTCGAGAGGGGGGGAGACCTATTTTAATCATTACAGCCCCCTATGGAATAAGTATTATTCAACAGTTAACTCTTAAACTAGGAAGCAAATTAGTAAGTTTTTTTCTTTTGTGTGAATGCCTTGACTTCAAAATTAAGTAGGAGCCATATAGTTTAACAAAGGGTGGATATTAAAACAAAGCAATTTTATATGGCACTGACTTATTTTTATAGCTTCCAAATGACCAACAATGGCTTTTACCGACATGCTTACCATTTTTGTTCTTCAGATTTGGGTCTGCTCCACTTTTCAGAAGCTTTAAGGCACACTGCTTATGAGCCCGGTAAGCTGCACAATGCAAGGGTGTATTTCCTAACTGATCCGAACAATTAACATCAGGAGGATTGGGCCTGTTGAGCTAACGAATGAAAAAATGCAATGCAGAATTACACATGAAAGATAGACTTCCTCCCATAAAACACATTAAGGTATAACTGCATGTTCAGGGGTGCCCTCAAACTATAGAAGCTGATGAACACCAGAGCTCTAGGAAGCTAGATGGTCAGGAACTTCTTGCTCACTAAACCAGCAAATCCAGGTCACTCCCCATGTTTGTCCTCGAGGTGCCAGGAAAGCTCAGGCCCCACATTCCCGTGACCAGAGACACCACGCACTACACCAATGTCACCCCACCCACCCCTGGACATTAAGATTTCACTAAGATTTGCTCCCTTCTACCAGTCTTGTGATTCATACTTGGGACAGCAAAAATACAAACCAGTCTCCCATAGGCAATCATTCAGAAGAGTTAAACTCATAAATGTTAAATGTATAAATGTTAAAGTTCTACGGAATTTGTTGTTCCCAAATGACTGCTTTAAAAACTTCTTTACATAGTCTCCATTTCACAAAGCTTAAAAAATGTTTGAGGCACTTTACTTGGAAACCAAAGAGGCCTTTTCAAATGAGCTGAAATAACTTTAAAGCAAATGGCAATGCTTCAGTCTTGAATTTAGAACAAATTTGGTTTCATGTTTAATGAGACTATGCAGGAAATGGAAACTAGAAAGTAGGTCTCCAAAAGGAAAAAAAAAAATGGGTAAAGTTTTCAGTCTGTTCTAACATGATATAAATATTCCCAAGTATTGTCCCTTCTTTATATGTTACTTTCTAAAAGTGTAGCACACCTTTCAGAAATTGCTTATCAAAATTAGAGAAACTTGTTCCTTTATTGGATCCTACATATTGTTTCAATTTTAAATTGGCTTACTCTGGAAAAAATTATCCTTACATTAAGTATTTGCCTTGAAAACTCAGTTTCTTAATCCATCAGGTTTTCAGTAGGGGGTGGGGATGTAAATAAATTCAGAGAAAAATATAATCATTACAATGTATCCTGCTTAAACTATAATTATGCCAAGTGTTTTTAGATACTTAAGAATGTTTGTACTATTATTATACTCTCCAGTATTTTAGTCCCACAATTTGACTAAATTATGAAGTTAACATTAAGTTAAAATTTTCCTGAAAGGTAAAGAACACACGTTGTTGTTGCTGTTTTACCAGAGCTATGAGTTCTGCTGTTCTGCCTTCTCTCGCTGCTGCCAAGAGTTCTTCTTCAAGCTTTCTTTGTTGAGTCCTTTCTACAGCTGTGAAAGGAAAGTACATGTTACTCTACTTCTAGTTAGATTCCTATAGCAAAATCATTACAAAGATGTATGAATAAAGTGATCTGGGGTAAAAAAGTCACAATGTTTTGTATTATAATTCAAATGCAGTTAAAGACTTTATTGTTATTCTCACTGCCTTACATTTCAGATAACAGAGTTCAAACTTCTTTCAGGTTCAAATGAATTTATGTTTTCAATTCAGAGGCCTTTAAGTATCTTACTACAATACCCATCACAAATAATTATGACTTACTTTTGCATGCTGAAATACTATTACATATCTGCCTTGGAAAGGTAGATATATTGGGGAGTAGCATTCATACCTTCCAGAACCTTAGAATCTGTGAAAAGTAACAATAAGAAATAGCACTGGTAGGAAGATGTACAAACCATATAAATAAGTAGATTTATATATACTTATATACTTTCACATAAGATTTATTTTAACATATTTTATAGCACTTACTATACGCCAAGTGCTATTCAAAGCACTTTAAAAATAGCTTCCAGTTATAAGTCACAGAGATGAAAAAATATAGCATATAGAGTCATTATTGTAATAACCTTATATGGTGACAGATTACTATACTTATCATGGTGAGCAATGTGTAACATATAAAATTGTCAAATCACTATGTTGTACACCTGAAACTAATATAACAGTGTATGTCAACTATACTTCAAAAAAAAATTTGGAAAAAACATATTAATTCATTAAATCCTCATAACTATGCTATGAAGTAGGTGTTACTATTATCCTGATCGTACAGATGAAGAAACTGAGGCACTAAGCACTTAAGGAATTAAACCAAGGTCACACAGCTGGAAATAGAGGAGCTGGGATTTCAACTTGTGCAGGCTGGTTCCAGAGACCATGCTCTTATTACTACTCTAACCTACTTCTTAAACCACACTTGGCAGGGAAAGAGAACAACAGGCAATCTGATTTCAGAGACTGGAATATGTACTAAGGTCTCTTTTGCTAGATTTTAATTCTGTTTTGGCTTATAAAAAAGAAGCAATTTCATAGAAAGGCTCAGTAATCTCACTTCAAACATGTGCACAAAATCCTGGTGCCAAGGCTGCAAGGGAGTAACTACAAAAGGTTTCTCAGGTTTTCCTGGCCGAAGTCAAGTCATGAACAAAAAAGCAGGTTGGGGAGCCAAGGGACTGGGGAAACACTATCTTGAATATGGCAATAGCTGGAACTAGTTTAAAGAAATGACTAACATTCCTAACGTACCATTATCTTCTATTCTCACGTTTTTATTTCCACACCCAGACTCCCTCCCCATCTCAGAGGAAGGCACCCAAGCCTCTGCATAGGCTCTCAATGGCTCCAGCTTTTGCTGGGATTCACGCTCTTCAATGTTTCCTCTTACTGGTCCTCTGGCTACTGGACTGTGAGCTCGGAGAACAGTCACATCCTGATCCCTGTTGTACATGCCTCTACTATTACATGTACTACTCAGAGCTGTCATTTATCCCCTCAGTCATTCTTGCAGTCAGATACTGTTCTTACCCTTCTGTGTATCCTAGGCATTTATGACCATGTCTGGCTCAATGCATATTTGGCCAATAAATATTTGGTGAATAATCAAATAAATGCTTAATCATGTTGGTTTTAGACTTTAGGGAAAGGAGGTGAAGGGTACCCTAGTGTTTCTTTCTACATTGCCTGGGTGCATAACTGAAGGAAAATGGGGATTTGGAGTTGAAAACCGTGCATATGTTCTTGTCCTGTGCTCATTAAGGACACTGAAAGATTATTGATCCAGCCAATGAAAAGGAAAAATTCCAGTTGGGGAAGTGAGGCTTCTAGAGTGCGGGTAACATTCTGTTCCTTCATGTTTACATTGATGTGTTCTGTTTGTGAAAACAATGAGCTGTACATTAATGATGTATACTTTTATACATCTATTTTACACCTCAATAAGTGTTTTTAAAGGAAATATTCCATTCAACAAATTATTTGTTCTATAAATTTTCATATGACAATAAACTATTTTTCTTTTGAATCTGTATCCAGAGTTAATAAGGATGCAGAGATCATGAAGTCTAACTCCATCCTAACAACACACTTACATACATGCAGAGAGTAAGTGAAATAGTAATATATTTGAAATGCAGGCAAGAACCTGGCAAATGTACTTCATTGACAAAAGAAAATCACCATTTTGCAATCTCCATAGTAATAAATGGTTCAAGGCAAGAATTATTAAGGTTAAAAATCAATGATTAAGAGATTTGGTTAGGGGCGCCTGGGTGGCTCAGTCGTTAAGCGTCTGCCTTCGGCTCAGGTCATGATCCCGGGGTCCTGGGATCGAGCCCCGCATCGGGCTCCCTG